CTAGGTCAGGGAAGACAAATTCAAAGTACTACATACAATTTGCTATGGAATATTGTTGCAGGATATTGCAGCTGTCTAGCCACAAAAGTGTACATTTCCTTGCAGTCGTCAAAACCAGTCTTGAACCAATCCTGTTACGTTCCTCTGAGTCAATCTTCTGCTATTTTGTTCATGTTTATTATCTGTATTCATAATCACTTTGGGCAATGGTGCACCTGAATACCTCTTTCATCATAGAATGACAAAAGAGCAGTTCTGTGTCAGGTTGTTATCACTACAACAGTTGTTGTTACTACAGGAGTCATCTGAGTCCCTCCTCCACAAATACACTTAGAAAAGTTGAGTTAGAAAAGAACGTTACAATAACAGGTTATTTTTATAACCTACCAACTCATTCTCCAAGAAAAGGAGCCAGAAGTACTTTCAGAAGCGTGAATGTAGGTCAGTGGTTCTCAGCCTGGGGTCCCCAGATGTTTTTGGCCTTCAACTCCCAGAAATCCTAACAGCTGGTAAACTGGCTGGGATTTCTGGGAGTTTTAGGCCAAAAACATCTGGGGACCCCAGGTTGAGAACCACTGATGTAGGTGAAGTGATTATTTGTAATTCATACTCTTGGGTAAAAAGCCTAATTAAGCTTCGGATGAGATGAATGGATGCTCATGGATATAAAAAGACATTGCGGCGTGGCCTAGAGTTCATGCTGCTGAAAATATTTCACATTCCCTGTCCCAATGTAGCCTTGTTTGCTGCATTCTATGATATATTTATAATTCGTTCCTACAAGTGCTGATGTTAAGTCTTCTTGTGCAATCTGGAAGGCCCACATCACACCCAAATGGAACCCGGATCTTCTTGCATTGAAGCACATCTTCAAACCATGTTGTTGCTGTGTGCCTTCAAGTCATTTCTAACTTAGAGTGACCCTCTCATGGAGTTTTCTTGGTGAAATTTGGCTTTTTGGAAAGGGTGACTTAGTTAAGGCTACCCAGTGGCTTTCTGAGTCTGAGCCTGGATTCAAAACCCGGTCTCCTGAGTCTTAGTCCATTGTTCAAGTCACCATTCCACTCTGGTTTGTGAAGCAGCTCCAACTAATTTAAATGTCTGATTTGTTGAAATGCATTCAACAATATGAATCTGACTTCTAAGTAAGAATGAAGGGTTGATGTATACAGGTACCGATAATTAGTGTACATAGAGGATGCATCAGAATTAATGCAGTCTGACACCACTTCAACAGTCATGACTCATTGCTAAGGAATCATGGGAGCTGCAGCTTTACAAGGTCTTTAGCCTTCTCTGCCAAATAATGCTGCTGCCTAATCAAACTAGGTAATGTAAAGGTAAAGGTTTCCCCTGACATTAAGTCTAATCATGTCTGACTCTGGGGGTGGTGCTCATCTTCATTTCTAAGCCGAACAGTCAGCATTGTCCATAGACATCTCCAAGGTCATGTTGCCAGCATGACTGCATGAAACACCATTACCTTCCCACCAAAGCAGTACCTATTGATCTACTCACATTTGCATGTTTTCAAACTGCTAGGTTGGCTGAAGTGCACAGAAGCACTCCAAGTGCTGGACATAAAACAAACAATACATAAGCCTATAAACAGTGACAACATAAATTCACAACAGCAAACACACATAAAACATCACATAATATTTTTTTTAAAATTCGTAAAATGCAGCAGTGCTTGCAGATAAAACTGGCTGTCTTCAATTAACAATCCAAATGCCGGAGTGAAAAATCACTAAGTCCTGAAGTCTAACCATTAAAATCTACTCAAGGTCAAAGGTCTGTCTAAAAAGCCATGTTTTTAGACTACACTGAAAAGCTTGGAGAGTGGTGACTAACCTAATCTCTCTAGGGAGGGCATACCGGAGCAGAGGAGCCACCACCGAGAAGGTTCTCTCTCTTGTCCCTACCAAGCACATCTGTGACAGTGGTGGGATGAAGGGAAGGGCCTCCCCAACAGATCTCAAGGCCCACACTGGTTCATAGGAGGAGATGTGGTTCTGAAGATAGGTTGGACCCAAAGTGTATAGGGCTTTGAAGATAATAACCTTCATTTTGAATTGGACCCGGAAAGTTGTCAGCAGCCAGTGGCGCTGCTTCAATAGGGGTGTGGTATGCTCCCTATAGGTAGCCTTTAATCTGGCTGCCGATTTTTGCACTAACTGCAGTTTCTGAGCAGTCTTCAAAGGCAGCTGCATGTAGAATCAATTGCAGTAGTCCATTCTGGTTGTAACTAAGACATGGACCATGATGGCCAAGTCAGATTTTTCAAGGTATGGTCACGGTTGGTGCACAAATTGTAACTGTGTGAAGGCCCTCCCGGCCACTGCTGACACCTGTGCTTCAAGCATCAGTGAGGAGTCCAGGAGGACCCCCAGGCTGTGGATCTGTGACCTCAGGGGACGTGTAACCCCATCGAGCACAGGCTGCCACCCGATCGGCCTCATGACTGACCAGAAGGGCCTCTGTCTTGTCTGGATTAAGCCTCAGTTTGTTCGCCCTCATCTAGTTCATCAGTAACCCCAGTGGCGTAATGGGTTAAACCAGTGATTCCCAAAGTGGGCGTTACTGCCCCCTGGTGATCACTGCAGCGATGGGGGGGGGGGGCGTAATGGCCACAGGTGCATTTGGGGGCGATGAAGAACTGTAAGGGGGCGGTAAAAGCATAAAAGAAAGAAGAGAAGGTTTAGAAAAATCGATTTCCAGGGAGTAGACCAAATAAGTTTGGGAACCACTGGGTTAAACCCTTGTGCTGGCAGGACTGAAGATTGACAGGTCAGAGGTTCGAATCTGGGGAGAGTGTGGATGAGCTCCCTCTGTCAGCTCCAGCTCCCCATGCAAGGACATGAGATAAGCCTCCCAAAAGGATGGTAAAATATCAAAAAGTCCTTGCAGATGGCCAGTTCTCTCACACCAGAAGTGACTTGCAGTTTCTCAAGTCACTCCTGACACACAAAAAATCCAGTCAATCACAGCTGCAAGACACCAGTCCAGGATCTGGGGAGCTTCCTTGGAGTGGGATGAAAAAGAGTAGTAGAGTTGTGTATCACCTGAGATGACACCCAACTCCAAAACTTCAGATGACCTCATCCAGCAGTTTAATGTAGATGTTACAGAGCATAGGGGAAAGAAGAAGAACCTTGCGGGACCCCAGGGATCCATCAGGTGTCCCCCGGCATCACTATTTGGGTACTATCCTCCAGGAAGGAGTAGAGCCACTGCAACACAGTGCCCCCAAGGCCCATTCTGGAGACTGTCCCAAAAGGATATCATGGTAGATGGTATTGAAAGCCACTGAGATATCCAAGAGGACCAACGAGGACACACATCCCCTGTCTAGCTCTGTTCTGCGACCTGAAACCAGACTGCAATGGATCAAGATAATTTGTTTCATCCAAGAATCCCTGGAGTTGAGAACTCCATGGCAGTTAAAGTGGCATCAAGCTGCATTAATTCTACAATGTAGATGCACATAGGAATCTCTGCAAAAAACCACAAGTGGCTGGCTTTGACTCCCTGGCTTTGAACCAGATCTTTCAACTGCCAACAAGCTCCAAGCAGCTTTAGCCCCACTTCAAGCAAGAAGGGGAAACCTTCTCCGCCCAGCGATCTGTAGCCAAATTATTACAAAAGGACCCACTTTCTCTGTAGAAAGCAAATTTGTAATTGCAGCAGTCTGAAAAGAAAAGACCACACAGCCAAGCTTCAAATGAACTGAGTCCAAAAGGAAATTTCAGTGGTTGCAGTATGAATGAAACTGTGGTTTAAGAATGAAGGAAAGAGAGCCATCCTAAGCAGCAGCAGCATCACTGCTTTCAAGAGTGTCCATATTCTTTTTCCCCTCCCTAATATTACTTTGGCTGCACCTACATTGTAGCATGAACACAGTTTGACACCACTTGACAGTCTCTCTTTTAACCATTACATGTAGCCCGCCCATTGTCATTGTGACTGTGCCTATTGTAATTTTATACTGCTATGTTTTCACAGGTTCTATGTAATTATGTTGTTGTTGTTTATTGTTTGGATTTTTGGTTCTATTTTATTGTAATTTGTTGTTTGGGATTGGCCTCATGTAAGCTGCTCCGAGTCCCCATCGGAGAGATGGTGGTGGGGTATAAATAAAGATTATTATTATTATTATTATTACTACTACTATTATTATTATTATTATTATTATTATTATTATATTGGCTCAATGCAATGAAATCCTGGAATGTGTCCCTTGGTGATGCAAGAGCACTTTTGTGTAGAAAAAGCTTAAAAAACTGCAAATCCCATGATGCCATTTTAATCCCAGGTCAGTAAAAGAAAGGACCAGCTAATCACCTCCCAACAAAGGATTCCCCCAGGCAGGAAGAAGCGAGACCTTGTAACTGTGAGGCCATTGTAACTGCGAGGCTTTCTGCCCTCAGGCAGGAAACAGTCAGGCTTTGAAGCTGTGAGGCTATTCAATGCTAATCAAGCTGGCCAATTGCAACATTCACACTTGCCTCAAGCACACAAGAGTTCTTTCTCCCACCCTGGACACTCCACAGATATGTAAACCTCACTTGCCTAGTTTCCAACAGACCTCTCAAACTCTGAGGATGCCTGCCATAGATGCAGGAGAAACGTCAGGAGTGAATGCTTCTGGAACGTGGCCAGTCAGCCCGAAAAACTCACAACACCCAACTGCAAGATTTCTACAGCACAGATGGACCCGAATGCCTACAAAAAAGCGGGCGCGACAGCTTCACAGAAAGCGGGTTCATCCTCATTGGCTGCCTCTACACTACAGAATTATTGCGGTTTGACATCGCTTTGAACTGCCCTGGAATCCTGGGAGTTGTAAGTTTGGTTAGTACTTTTTTTTGACAGAGGCGGCTATTTAAAAAAGGCAAAGTTGCAACTCCCATTGAGCCAGGGTTTAAACCGCATTAACTCTACAGTGCAGACGCATCCCGAAGCTTGTTCAGACCTTGTTCTTCCTTTCCGTCCTGTACCTGAACTGGTCGAACTGGGCATACTGGCTCCACTCCTCGGGGTTGCTCTCGTAGGACTCCATCAGGGTCTGCACTTCGTCCACATTGACTTTGTCTCCGGCGAACAACTGGTGCAGGATGCGGATCAGCTCCTCCAGCGAGTGGGCTTTGCACAGCTCGGTCTGCTCGGGGTGGTCCATCTTCCGCTCCTGACACTCAGCGGCCCCTCCGCAGGCGAGGAATTCGAGGACCCAACGCTGCGCCTCGCCGCTATTTATCCCTGGCAGAGCGATTGGGAACGTACCAAGTGGCCGCGGAGGGAGGGCCCGCGGGAGCCGCTCTGGCTGCCCATAGGCTTCTTCCAAGGGCACACCCCCCCATTCAAGGAGGAGTTCCGCCTTCCCAAAGCCCCTCAATGAGGCTTCTGTATTCGCGCTCCCCCTCCTCGCCCTCCTTAAGGGGCCCAGCCTCTATTATGCCTCAGCACAAAAGGGATGGGTGGGAAAGGAGTCACAATGGACGGACCCACGCTGCCCGCCTCCTTGGCTTTGCCACACTCAGCAGCACCTGCCTCTCATGGCCTCATCAAGGATGCACATACTTGTCTACAATGTAACTCCACATACACACAAACACACACACACACACACACACACACACACACACATACCTATGGCTGGAGTTACACTTAGAAATGTATATTCATCTCTGATGAGACAATGTCAGGCTGGGTTGTTGTGAGTTTTCCGGGCTCTATGGTCATGTTCCAGAAGCATTCTCTCCTGACGTTTTGCCTGCATCTATGACAGGCATCCTCACAGGTTGTGAGGTCTGTTGGAAACTAGGAAAATGGCCAAGGTGAGAGAAAGAACACTTGTCTGCTTGAGGCAAGTGTGAATGTTGCAATTGGCCACCTTGATTAGCATTAAATGGCATTGCAAATTCAAAGCCTGGCTGCTTCCTGCCTGGGGGAATTCTTTGTTGGGTGGTGTTAGCTGGTCCTTATTGTTTCCTGTTTGGAATTCCCATTTTCTGAGTGTTCTCTTGTCTGTTTGAGGTGGGTGGCCAATTGCAACATCTACCTCAAACAGACAAGAGTTCTTTCCCCCCACCCTGGACATCCCATAATAAATCTATATAAATAAAAATGTAATGTTTGTTTGTGGACTTAACATAACTCAAAAACCACTGAATGAATTGGCACCAAATTTGGACACAATACACCTCTCAGGCCAGCAAGTGACCATCACTCATAAAAACATTGAAAAATACAGCAGAAGAGACTTAAAAAGAAAAAAAACATTACAATGCATGTACAAAACAACATATGTACACATATACACAAATACACACACACACATACATATACATATATACGCACACAAAACACATATACACTGACTGGGTCACAGCAATGCATGGCAGGGGGTGGCTAGTCTATATAAATAAAAATGTAATGTTCGTTTGTGGAATTAACATAACTCAAAAACCACTGGACAAATTGACACCAAATTTGGACGCAATATACCTGTCAGGCCAACGAGTGACCATCACTCATAAAAACACTGAAAAATACAGCAGAAAAAACATAAGAAGCCAGAAAGCAAAAAATATATATTACAACACATGTGTAAAACCACATATATACACAAGCACACATATATACTTTTTTTGTCATGTCAGGAGTGACTTGAGAAACTGCAAGTCACTTCTGGTGTGAGAGAATTGCCTGTCTGCAAGGACGTGGCCCAGGGGATGCCTGGATGTCTTTTTGATGTTTTACCATCCTTGTGGAAGACTTCTCTCATGTCCACATATGGGGAGCTGGAGCTGATAGAGGAAGCTCATCTGTACTCTCCCCGGATTCAAACCTGTGACCTTTCGGTCTTCAGTTCTGCTGGCACAGGGGTTTAACCCACTGTGTCACTGGGGGCTCCTATATACACATATACCTACAGCTGTTAGGAATTGTTGGAGTTGAAGTCCAAAACACTTGGAGGGCCAAAATTTGCTCATGCCTGAGCTAGATATTAAAACAAACAAATAGAAACAAAAAAAAAGAATGGGAGTTAAAGATGATCATGCTCTGTGCATTGTTTTTTCCAACATCCTACCTGAATAAGAATTCTTAAGGTTTGCTCACTACTTTGTGACGTTTTATTTCACCGCGTTAAATGCCACCTTGGGCTTTTATCTGCATTTGCCTAAATTATTCAGATATATGTGTCTCCTGACATCCTCATCTTTGTCACGGTCATCATCCTTACCATCATCATGAGTCTGACATTTGCAGTTAGGATGACTGGATAACTATTTTACTTGCAACTCAAAACTGATAATCAATAGTATTTTGGGTTGCTGTGAGTTTTCCAGGCTGTATGGCCATGTTCCAGAATCATTCTCTCCTGTTGTTCTGCCCACATCTATGGCAGGCATCCTCAAAAGTTGCGAGGTCTGTTAGAAACTAGGCAAGTGAGGTTTATATATCTCTGAAATGTCCAGGATGGGAGAAAGAACTTTTGTGTTTGAGGCAAGCGTGAATGTTGCAGTTGGCCACCTTGATTAGCATTGAATGGCCTTGCAGCTTCAAAGCTTGGCTGTTTCCTTCCTGGGGAAATCCTTTGTTGGGAGGTGATTTGCTGGCTTTGATTGTTTCTTGTCTGGATTTCCCATTTTTAGTGTTGTTCTTATTTACTGTCTCAATTTTAGAGTTTTTTTAAAATACTGGTAGCCAGATTATGTTCATTTTCATGGTTTCCTCCTTTCTGTTGAACTTGTCCACATGCTTGTGGATTTCAGTGGCTTCTCTCTGTAGTCTGACATAGTGGTCCAGCATTTCTATGTTCTCAGATAGCATGCTGTGTCCAAATTGGTTCATCAGATGCTCTGCTATGGCTGACTTATCTGGTTGAATTAGCCAGAAGTGCCTTTCACGTTCCTTGATTTGTGTTTGGGCAATGCTGCATTTGGTGGTCCCTATGTAGACTTGTCCACAGCTGCATGGCATACGGTAGACTCCTGCAGATGTGAGAGGATCCCTCTTGTCCTTTGCTGAACACAGTATTTGTTAGATTTTCTTAGTGGGTCTGTGGATAGTTTGTAGGTTGTGTTTCTTCATAAGCTTCCCTATGTGGTCAACAGTATTTTGGTCCCTGTTGTTATTGTTATTTTATCTTGGGTAAGTAGCACATAGAGGCCAATATGAGAAGGAAGTCTGGTTTGACTCCACAGTCAAGCTCACAAGAGAGCAATACATTCTCATTCTCCATGGAGATTTGATGTTGTGACCCTGAACATTATAACTGCAGAAATATCAGTCTTTACAATCTCCTGTGTTTCACCAGAAAATGTGCAAATAAAATTGAAAGATCTTGAAGTAAACAAACTAAATATTCAAGTGAGTACATGAGCAGGCACAGATTCCAAATATGAACTCAAATGGGTTAATATCCTTAATTACTTCACCTGGAGCAAGTCAGGTGGACCTGGACTCCAGTTCAGGGCCCCCAAATAGAGAGCCATTTCATTTTGCATTCCAGACAGAATGAGTTTTCAAAATTCTAATTCCAAACTAATTACAATTGGCACCATGTCTTGCATACTTCTGCTTTGCCTTTTGATCTAGGTATGCGTTAGCTAATAGTTACACACACACATACTGTTTCTAACTGTAATGACACACAGAAGGTTGTGCAATTCACTCAGAATGTGGATAAAATCTTTCAGATATTTAGTAAAATACTAATCGGTCACAAAAGGAGAATAAAAAAGGTAAAGTATTTATTCAATCTCCAACGAGTCCTAGTATTCATTGCAGTAACATCTACAATATGGTCCATTTGCCAACTCACAGAATTTTACTTTCTTACATTTGAAGGACTACACCAGACATGGGCACATATTGGCCCTCCTGGTGTTTTGGACTTCAACTCCCACAATTCCTAAAAGCTGGTAGGTTGTTAGGAATTGTGGGAGTTGAAGTCCAAAACACCCAGAGGGCTGAAGTTTGCCCATGCCTGGGCTAGACTCAATATGCAAGACATTTCACAAGCAGAAAACAATCGAAATATTTTATATTGATTTATAGACATTGCTAATGATGACAATGCATCTGTGACCATTTGCAGAGCACTGAGATATGATGATGCTGTTTTTGCTAGTCAGTTATTTCAGAGGACAGAATACTTTATAAAGGCAAAGTAAGACACTGCAATCCAGAAAGACATTGGTTTTTTCTCATTTGCAACTACCTGACTTATTCAGATACTTGCATTGTCATCCCTATTCCAATCTTTGTCACCATCATGAGTCTGACCTATACAGTTGTGATGACAGGAGAATAATCTTACTTGCAACTCAAAATGGATGAATAATATTTTGGTCCCTATTTTGTTATTCTGCCTCAGGTATGTAGCATCCAGATAACCATATGAGAAGGCAGCTTGTTTATGCTTCATGGTCAATATGGGGCCTTAATGTTATGACACTCAAAATCAAACACTGCAGAAACTAACACAAATATTTATAATAACCAGAAAATCTGCAAATAAAAATATCAAAAATAAAATAAGGAACAAATAAACATTGCTCTAAGATGGCATTTTAAATATTTTCACTTTTGAAATATTTTTGGGACATGCATAAACTGTGAATTATTAGCAGGTCCCGAGTCCCTCTGCGGAGGTTGAGATAGGACGGGATATAAAAGCCCCAAATAAATAAATAATAGTTGCTACTTCACCTAACTAACTTAAAGGTGAGCAAAACTAATACATTATATCTCTTTATTTGTGTCTGTGTCTTCAAGTTGCCTGTGGATAAACAGCAGTTTTTTCCAGTAGGTTTTCATTTGACAAGAAGTACTCAGAATTGCCCTAGCTTAGCTTCCAAGATCTGATAGGATCTGGTGTGTTTAGACCTCACTTCCAATTTCTACATCATCACTTTCCACATGAACACTTTGAATGCTGGTAATGATTCATTCATCTGAATAATGAAGCATGATGCCATATGCTTCACTTCAAGAAACTTGTTGAAAAATATAGAAATCTATACACATAATAAAAGTGAAAATGTGTGTGCATGTGAGGCTGGGGTGTCCACTTACACAGACAAGCTCCAGTCTCCACAAACAGTTATAGTTCCCACTACTCAGGAGACACCAAGGGCCCTCCCTTGCGATGACATTGTGGGTTACAGCGAGCGCCATGAATGTATCCAAGACCCTGGCAATGTCCTCCACAAACACAATACTGCCCAACATCCAAGTGAAGGCTTTCGTACAGGGGCCATTTCTTCCTA